TATATAGCCACCCCAATTCGACATCCGAATTGTCCGGCCCCCAGTGGATCCTTAGAAGGACCAACGTCTAGCCGGCACATACCCCCTAGCTGACAACCCTGTCAGACTAATAATATAGCACAATGCTAACATCAACTCAATTTTGCCATGTGGGTTTCTCTCTCTCTCCCTTGTGATCTCTGTCTCACCCAACAGACCAGCATGTCAAGTGCGTCCAGCCCGCTGCTCACTGGGACCAACTGGAGGCCTGGTTAAGTGCTTAACCCTCCACCTCCTGCCCAACGACGCCATGGAGCTGCGGCGGCCAAGCAGAGAACAGCTGGACGTCCGCATTAATCCGCTGAGGGCGAACGACCTGGCCCGGAGCCATAACAGCCAAGCCCAGACTCAACTCTCCAGGGCCCTTACACACCTCACCCTTGCACAGGCCGGATCCATAGAAAAGGGTCTCAACCAGCGGGAGCATCGAGCCCAGGACGCCTGCAAGACGACGAGGGAAAAGGACGCCAAACTTCTGGAGCAAATGGACGGACTACAGCGCGCCCCGATGGAGCTACAAGCGGACAACGGACACAAGGAGTGACGAGAGGAGAAAGCCAAAGACGAACTGAGTGTAAAGCTACAAGCTGAAACACTATTGTAAAGAGCAGAACTAAAGACAGTGAAGCTCGGGTCAAAGCCTCTAAAGTCAACGGCAGAGGGCCCGAGCAAAATTCCAACACGGAACCCAACCAAGAGACTTTAAGCATGAACTTGACAGAGTTCACCCAGAACTGTCACATTCCTACAATCCATGTGACTACCCAAAAGAGGAAGTGCCGCAGTCAGCCCCTAAAGCCAAGACTGGATAGACCAGCAGAGGTGGGTGAATCCAACTCATACTGCCCTGCCAGCCAGCATTCCAGCAACGCCCATCAGCAACACAGGGCCAGGACTCCCTCCAAAGGGGTCCCCCACGTCAGACACCATCTGTCAACCAAAGACTTTAAACCAGCTGGCCAGGGAAGTGACAACTTTCACCCCAAACCCTGCTGGAAGCGACGACACGCACTCCTAATTCTAAGAAATTGACTTTTACACAGACGAGGCCAAGTGCCACTCTCTGTGACAAATTGTATCTGCTAAGAATTACTTCGAGCCGTGAGGCAAGAAGTTTCCTGAATCAACAGCCCCGTGCCATCAAAGCAGATTACGAGCTGATGCAAAAGCTCTTACTAGAGTGTTTTACCTGACCCCGTGTCAGAGAAAGGACTGATTGTCGCCATGGGGCTCAGAACAGCCACGAGACCTCACAGGCATACTGCAGTCGACTACACCAACCCTACTTCAAGACAGGAAATGAGCCACGGACGGAGGAGGATTTCAACTTCCAGATCCTCTCTCTCTCAAAAACCTGCTTTCTGTGGTGAGTCCGCACCTGGGCAATGCCCTGCCCCCACGCCCTGACCACCCAACAGCGGCAGAGTTTAGCTCATAAAATCTGTTTAAAACAAAGACTGCTTTGAAAGACTGTCAAACACCTACAAGCTACCCTGTCTCAGAATCTCATCCGGAGCTGACTTTAAAAGGCACGCTACTGTTTCCCAGCCGCAAGACTTCCAAACAGTGAGTTAAAGCCTTTCTCCGCCAGCAGAGGACAGCACCGCCAGGAAGGCGCATGTCCCAACACCAGACAGGATGCTCAAGACACACTGGGACAAGCCACTCTCCACAAGCAGCCCAAAAGGAGCCTAACAGCAACAAAGGAATGGCCAACCTGCAGTAGCTAGGAGCTCAAGCAACCAGCATCCAGCTAGTTACACGCCAGAGAAAGCCAAAGGTAAAAACCTGACAACAACCAACAGCACAGTGGCATCGTGAGCAGCAGAACTGCTGAAAAACTTAAAGGGGGCCCCACAAGAAGTCAAGCCAGACTCCTTATGACTAGAAGGGGGGTCAAAAACCATTTACCCCCTGAACACCTGCTTTCTGCTCCATCCCCGCAGAGTACTGCGAGTCCAACATCAGCTAAAGACTGTGTACCTAACTGCAGCATCACGCTTCCCCCAAGAAGCAGCCAGTGCCACCATGCTTGCAACCTCAGGTACCAGAAAACACTGGTCTGGTTGTCTGTTTACCTCCTGAGCCACAGCCCACCAACCAGCCACATCTGCGTACAAACAACTGCTCAGGCCTTTGCACTTCAACTCTTGGGGAACCTGACCAAAATGGCATGGCAACTTGGCCGTAACCGTGGAGAAAAACACGCATCAGCACGGGAGCAGACCTCACATTAATGTCATCTCCCCTGTTTGAGTAACTCAAAGCAAGAGCTCAGAGACTAAACCAAACTTAAATGCCAACAAGGCAGGCTGATGGCAAATCATACAGCCAAACTGAGGTTCAACTCGCATACATCGCTTCCATTCAAGTAACTACTGTCCCCATGACTGCAGTGCACCCTGTGTACCCGTCGCCAATGGGCACATACCTGCTGCTGATTGGTAAAGATCCGCTGGATATGTTTGAACCTCTTTTGAACTTTGAACCCCTTAAAATCTGGGCCCAAGTGCGAGAACTCTCTCACAGCCGTCAGGTCAACCCCAACAGACTTTCAGGTCACCGAGGTCGCGGGAAACTGCTGGAACCCGCGAGAATCCAAACTCAACAACCTAGACGGGGTCAAAGTCGCTACTCTGCAGCCTTAAAGGGCACCTATTGTAAAAAATCTTCTTTTCAAGCTGTTTGGACAGATCTGTGTGTTGGTATAGTGTATAGACCATCATACTGGGGTGATATGAACACACCCAGTCCTTTTTTTTCAATTTAACTACAAAAAAAAGGGTCGGCCAATTGGAGCTGTTTTCAAATCGATCGCACCATTACGTAGGTGTGCGATTCCCCCCGCCCACCAAATTGATTGACAGCTGCGCGTATTAACATATCCTGAGTTTGCCGTTTCCGCCATTATTAGCGTGAACGTCGAAGCGATGCCACCGAGAGAACACCCTTGTGCTATTTTAGGATGTAAGGCTCAGCACAAGTGCCTTCACCGTCTTCCTGCAAATGAGCAACAGAGGCTTAAGTGGCTGAGTTTTATCTTTGAAGACAAGGTGCCTGAAAATGTACCAAAACTGTTGTATGTTTGCGCTAACCACTTTAGCGTAGACTGCCTCGAGAACGCGGGACAATACAACTCCGGATTCGCGAGTAAATTGTTTTTGAAAACTGGATCAGTTCCTACAATACGTGATCCTGTCTCACTTCAAGTAAGTATTACATTTTATGTACTTCTAGCCTTAGTATTCTAATTATGTTAAGCCGATGAATAGCATCTGCGGCTAAAGTAGCTTCGGATGTTTGTTTGCACGTGTTTACCTCTTTTTGTGCTTTTCAAAAACAGTCTAAATACTCGAAGCTGCATATGGTAGTGTGTACATGAAGGGGGTTTAGCCATTAGGAACAGAAACCGTAGAAAAATAGCAACATTGTAAAAAGCAGTACCACTGGCTACAGCTAAAGTTTGTTGTTGTTAAATGTTTGTTGTACTGTAATCGTAAGCCGAAATGAATAGCATCTAAAAGTTAAAAGCCGCTAAAGTTGCTTCGGATGTTTGTTTGCACGTGTTCACTGCTATTATGCTTTTCTAAAACAATCTAAATAATCGAAGCTATAAGTGGTAGTGTGTACAAGAAGGGCTTTTAGCCATTAGAAACAGAAACCATAGAAAAATATAAACATTGTAATAAAGCAGTAACCAGTACTGGCTACAGCTAAAGTTTGTTGTTTATGTGGGATGTTTGTTGTAATGTGTATACTGTAATGTTAAGCAGAAATAAATAGCATCTGCGGCTAAAGCTACTTCGGATGTTTGCGCGTTTACAGCTATTGTGCTTTTCTAAAACAGTCTAAATACTCGAATCTTTAAGTGGTAATGTGTACATAAAGGGGTTTTAGCCATCAGAAACAGAAACCGTAGAAAAAATTAAACATTGTAATAAAGCATTACCACTGACTAAGTTACAGCTAAAGTTTGTTTTGTATGTGTATGTTTATTGTAATTTTTTTCACTGTACTTGCACGTGGTCTGCAGTTGTTTACAATAAGATCGGTATGTTTTAATCAAATAAAGGTCATTTTAAAACATGTATGTTTTCTTACAAAGGCCACGACGTTGACAAAGAGCAACAAGGTGGATGTTGCTTGCCAGACAGAACCTTTTCACACATCTTTACACAGTGTTGGCACCCAGTTGTCTTTTAGGACGCTTCAGGCTAAACGCAGGAGTACAAGTAGGTTAACATTTCTCAGTTTATTTTAAGTTGCTGCATTAGAAACGTGTTTTATTATCTTTATAAACGTGCAATGAGATTAATCATAAAATTACACTATAGGTGTCCCGACAACAATTTCCAGTTTTGAACTGACTGTACCATCAGCGTCCTCTACTGCGTTTTTGACTTTGACACCCCTCAAACCTTCACTAAAAAGACCTCGTCTGGAGCTGGAGGAGGAGGAGGAAGAAGAAGAAGCCGAAGAGACTTTGACAGAGTCAAAAATTATAGCCCAAGACTCGGATGTGACATTTGACCCTGCAGAGGAATGCACATCTGCAACTGAACCAACAGACTTGTCGTGAGTTTATGCATTATGTAAATTATTTGAAAGATTGTGTATTGTCATCATAACATTCATCATCATTTTTTTTTTATTATGTTAATGTGTATATTTATTTTTACAGAATCCAAGAATGCCCAGTTCATAACATTGCCAAGTTCATTGTCTATGAAACATGCCTCATGGAGCTCTTCAGAGACTGCCCAGTGTGTCAGAGGAGATGTGATGTAAAGTCACAAAGGCTTGGGACATTTCTGAGCGTACAGCAAGTCTGCCCACACTGCGAGTTTGTAAGAAAATGGAACAGTCAGCCAATTATTGGTAGTACTCCAGCTGGCAACCTGCATCTTTCTGCTGCAGTCTACTTGAGCGGTGCATCATTTTTTGTAGTTGAAAAGGTAATTATCTATCAAAATTTATCACATTTCTTTTAGAAACATAATATAAATTTTGTCACAGGGTGCATGCACATTGTACTAAAAATTCTCCTCTCTGTTGTCAGGTATTTGCTGCAATGAAACTACACATTTTTAAATATAATTCATTTCGCCGTCATGCAAGACTTTGCATTGAACCTGCTATTGTCCACAAGTGGAGAAATTGGCAGAGTGAAATGCTAGAACAGCTCAGTCGAAGAGAGAATGTGATTGTTGGAGGAGATATGAGGGCTGACTCCCCAGGTATTTAGTCAAAAGATTTAATTTCTAATTCAATACAGTCTAATAAAAAAAATAATATGAAATACATTACAATTTTTCCAAAAATGTGTTTAGAATAATTATGTACGGTTTGTTCTTGAAGGTCACTCGGCCAAGTATGGGAGTTATACAATGATGGACCTTGCAACTAACACAGTGGTCGACCTACAGTTAGTCCAGGTAATACAGAAAAGTATTATGTGAACTAGCATAATATTTTGAATTGAAAATGTGTGATCTATATATATATATATATATATATATATATATATATATATATATATATATATATATATATATATATATATATATATATATATATATAAATTTTTTTTTTTTTTTTTTTTTTAACCTTAATTAAAATTTTATAGAGTAATGAGGTGGGTGGCAGTTACCATATGGAAAAAGAAGGCCTAAAGAGAAGCCTTGACCTGTTGGATGCCTGCGGTGTTCGTCTGGAATGCATCATCACAGACCGACATCCTCAAATACAGAAATATCTCAGGGATCGAAATGTCACTCAGTTTTACGATGTGTGGCATATCGAGAAAGGTATGTAATTTAGCAGTTATTAATTTACTTAAGATTAAATTGCTATTTACAGTTCTTACATGTTTAATATTATTTTTGTGTTGATGTCTTTTTTTCTTTAATTTCCAGGAATTTCTAAAAAACTGGACAAGATATGCCAGATAAAGGGGTGTGAGAAGTTGCGTAAATGGTTACATAGCATCAAAAACCACATCTACTGGACTGCTGCATCATCCACAACAGGTCCTGAAAGAGTGGCAAAGTGGACCTCTATCTTAAACCATGTACAAGACAAACATGTACATGAAGACCCCAATTTTCCGGCTTGTCTGCATCCGCAACGGATAAGCAGAGACAAGAACAAATGGCTGTCGGCTGGTAAGTTGTATACAGACAAATAAAATATTCTTTGCGATTAAAACTAATTCAAAATAGAGCTTGTTTCATTGTTCAGATTTGTTTTTGATTTCGACTCTAATACCTTAAATTTTTGCTTGTTTAGCAACGATGCCATTCTACAAGCTGGAGAAAGTTCTCGCTAACAAGAGAATATTGAAGGATGTGGCCAAGCTAAGTCCTCACCACCAGACGTCAACTGTTGAAGCTTTCCACAGCGTCATACTGCGGTTTGCACCCAAAAAATGTGGTATTCCCTTTTCTGGGGATGCTATGCAGGTAAAGCCAATGATCAGAAATTAATATTTACAATACTACACAGTCTTGTCATTGTACGTCATTTACATTTTTCTTTTTGTTAGGTTGTACTTGGCTGCACTGCATTACAATGAAAATGCCGGGCGTCCCCAGGCCACATCAGCAACTGGTAAACCTATTTACAAGCTTGCCTTTCCAAAGGCAAAGAAAGGAGAGTATAGGGTCCGAGAAGTGAAGACACAGCAAACTTTCGGTATGTATATAAATGTTTATAGTATTATTAATAATTCAATAAATAAACAAAATAATTGCACTTTACATTCACAATGAAAACTCACTACTCAAAATACAAAATTAAGTTACTAAAGAGATAACTGTTATATTGCACAGGTTATGTAGAAGAGCTGCTGGACCTCATCTTCAACCAAGTGTTTGTGGACCCATCACCCTATGTTGATGAAGTGTTGGGAATTCACATACCACCTGCTCTATCATCAGCCTACGATCGACCTGAGATGGAGGAGGCTATCTCCAGCAGGGTGACCCGCTTCAATCAATAGCTATCCTAAAACCCACATAGCTGCCCTGCTCTTCAGGAAACTGTCTTCGAATCTTCAGCACCACACAGGCAGGAATCACAACACGGACTCTCCGCCCGAGGAAACCCCAACACCAGCTCACAAAGCTCCGATAAGCCAAAAAGCGGCACTGTCTAACAGAGACATAATAATGAAACATTGTTTTAGAAATTGCACTACAATTTGAACTTGGGAGTTATCACATATACATTTTTATTTTTTATAAAATAACTAGCTTTAACAAAATTTCAGAAGTCATATTTTGTTTATTCAACTGCCAATGTATATTTGATATGTTTGTATGTGTTTGTAGATATACTGTACTTTCTAATGTTCATGGACAATTGTATTTCATTCAACAAAGTGACAACTTGGAGTTTATATTTTATATTTGCAAAAGGATACATTTTATATTTGCCAATCACATTTTAATTTATACTTCAATATAAAGTTTTTATATGACTCAGGAATTGAAGCATCTTTTCTGAAGGGTTGATGTTTCTATGCCATACTGATTATTATATATTTTAAGAGTTTATATATTAATGTTTAGTGAATTTAAAATTATTTTTCAATAAAAAGTACATGCATTACTCAGCCTTTTATGAAGTCATTCAAATTGTCATCTCAGAAATAGCAGCAATGAAAAACGGTACGTATTTCATTTTTATTGACATTGAGGTAAAGTTGGTTTTATATTCAGATATTCGGACATTCTCCTTAATAGTATCATTTCAGTAAAGTATTCTTTGCAAATTCAAAATAGGGAAATCGTATTAGCAGCAAATGACAAAGTACAACATTGTTTACAGTCAAGTAGATAGTTTTAATGTTGTTTATAAGTCATACTTGCATGCTAAATACGATCGATTGTTTAAACTATCATGATAAACAATACAGGGACTTCTGAATGTGCGGATATAAAACCAACTTTATCGCTATTGTATTGACTACACAGCGTTAATGTGCTTAAAAAGAAAGCGAGCATGCAGATCATGAACAAGGTAACCTGCTATTCTTTCTATTTATTTAAACTCACTTTTGCACTCCACGAAGTCGCAGGGGACCATAGTCTGCTTTGTATATATTCTATGCATTTTGCAAGGAATAAATATTGAAGCAAACGGGATCCATTCCTGGATGCTCCGTCATGCACGAGGGTTGCATTTCCAGTTGATCCATTCGTCTTCTAACCTTATTACACGACACAGTTATGCTGTTTATTATCTCATTCGATGTCTTTAGAGCAGCAACGTTAACATAAACTGGAAATTTACCTGCGGTATCTCCCTGCAGCATACATTTTCAGCCTCAGTTGGCATTTTTTCACAATTGCCACACAAGCACCTGCCAATATTTGTCAACGTCAATATTCATTAATTACGAATAAATCATACCAATGCAAAATTGATCTCTGTGGATATCTTTATGTCTTGTCTGTGTTAGACGTAACGCATGACGTTCGCGAACTTTATCAAACAAATTACGGATGGCGCATGCATAGTTACATAGCGGCTGTAAAAGTATACAAAAACATTAAATATTTTGTATGTACCACTCTGACACATTCTGGCACATTCAGATTATAGATTCCTCAACAGTCGACTCTGCTTGATCTGTGTCCGAGTCTGGGTCATATATGTAGGGTTGAATTGTGTTCCTCTCACTCATGATGACTCTTACTGTCTGCCTCTGTGATACGGTGCACAAAGCAGACGCGCTCTTGGCTCCGCCCCCTTGTTACGTTGGGCGGGCAGTCGAAACTCATTATCATGTTAAACAACACACCCCAAAACAGCAACCCGTGTACACACCTCTAAATTTACACTTTTTAACACAGCATAATAACCATATCTGAATTGCGTTTTGATCTGAACCTATATTGGCACACTCAGAAGAACCATAATATTAGTATTAAATCTCAAAAAAGGGCTAAAATATGTGCCCTTTAAAACCAGCTAGCAACCCCAACGCTTGCTGCCCCAGGCCTCAAAGGGCTTTATGTTGAATAACCGAACTGTGAATGACACTTTACTTGCACTATGAGCAGACAACCTAGCAGCCATCAGCCTCGCACGGTGCGACACTCCGCCTGAACACACCCCAGACCTGTGTTCAACTAACAAGCATACACACTACTATCCAAATGCTGAACTCTCACACATGACAACTGCCAACAGCATTTGCACATTGAACTTGAACCGAAATGGCGGATGGTTGACCCATCCCCTCCTAACTCTCACGGCCCGGCCGCAAGATGTTCACATCGGAGCTAATAGCCTGATACATCTTCATGCGGATAAACTACGGGTCGGGTAATAAAATAATACATTAGAATTAGCTAATTGCAGGTCAGTTGCGGGTGTATAGCGGGACATGGCAGTGGATCAGTGAAAAAGCAAAGATTAGCCTTTGCAGAATGAGAAGATATGAGATGCCCAATAGTGAAGGAAGTGCAAGAGTAGCCTACTGTTCAAAGTTTCAGTTAGAGGGGTCAGAAAAAATTCTGCCATCGTCCTGAGAGAAACAAGATTGTGCAAGATATTAGTGCAGTCAAAATTGTTGAGTATATATATATATATATATATATATATATATATATATATATATATATATATATATATATATATATATAAACACACACATCCTCATTTTATTAAACATGAGGGACTGAAACCTAACTTCTATTGCATATCTATTGCATACTCACTAATACACAACGGAGTTTTGTTTTTTCATCTAAATATTAACTAACAAAACATTTTATTGAGTTTTGTATCATAGATTCTTACTGCTAAAATGCGGTGACTGTTAGTTAAAGAAGGAACTGAAAAGATATTAATTAACTCCAACTTATTCAAATTTGTTTAGAAATATTTAGAAATTAAAAAAAAAAAATTTCTCCAGAACAAACAGTAGTGAGTTGTGGCAACTGCTAACCAACTGTGCCTGAAAAAGAAAATAAACTCAACCCTTTTAGACCATGCGCCATGGCGCAAAGCAGATTTTCCTATCCTTAAGTTAGCAAAAATGCATTCTGACATGCCCTGAAAGCGTTTGCGCCCTGCGTTTTGCGCCCTGCGCATGGACCGTCAAACTAGAGCCCATAGTTCGTTGATTTGCTGTTTCCAAAAGTTAATATATAATAGTTTTTACATAGAGTATTGCATTAATTGCATAGACGTTAAATAGAAAATTTGAATGGCAAACGATTTTAGATTTGTATATAAAATAGCCTATGTAATATATTAACATCAACAAATTAATAAAATAAGTAGCAAACGAGAAATAAATGACAGAAAAGTTGATAAAAGCAGATATCATCTCTAAAAGTTATCATAATTGCTAGATTAAAAAGATAAAAAGAGTAAATATTAACTATTAACTACTAATGGTGTATATATTTTGCAGCCAGTTTAGATTTCATTTCGTCCTCTCCGAGTCGTTTAGATTACAGAATATATTATTTAGCCAACGTTTTCTCTTGGTATCGCAGCTGTGCGTGCACTGTCAGATATATATATATAGGTCTAAAATAAATCTAAAAAGTTGTAAATATCCCTAACAATATTTTTTGAGTATACAAATCACTGGATTACATATTAGTAGCTGTTTTACGTAAACCATAGTAAAAAAAAAAAAGTCTAAGTTTTTACTTTTCACCTGTGACACATAAATAAACACTGAACCATGACCCTGACTAAAGCAAGGTAAACCTATAACACTCATGGCAATACGATTTAGTATAAAAGAAAGTGTCATCAAAAAATTATATATAATTTATATTTATTCCAGGTTTCTGTAAGCATCAGTTTTTGTTGTTGTTTTTTCTCCAGTCAGTCAGGGTCTAACAGTGAGAGAATAGCAATGAAGGCCACACACACACACACACACACACACACACACACACACACACACACACACACACACACAGGGCTGGAGGGGTTCAAACAGCCCCACTGCTGCTCTATTAATACACCTTATGTAAGCGATCTGAATACCACTGTTCCTGTGTCTCTCCCTCTCACTGTATTCACCACAAAATGGAGCAAACATCTAGCGGACATCAGAAACATGGTCATTGATTGGCTCGCTTGTATTTGTTCTCACGTATACATGGGCACAAGCTGAATAAGTCACTGAATTTGTTGAGGTGCCCATCAATACCTCAGGCGTGTGGTTACCATGGTTATATGGCCCATCCCTTGAGAGTCATAATGTCAGGATAAACGCAACTGTAAATGCCTTTCCCAGCTTAACTGAGAACAACTGACATGATAATTTCTCGATAACATCTGAGTTTATGGGCTTTTTATCTTCATGGCATAGCAAAGTGTGGAATAAGAGGAGCGAAAGAGAGACAAAGAAAAAGAGGGGTATGCGATATAGACAACTTATTCCAAATTCGAAAGTTGAATCTAAGAAGAAATGAGACTTTATTTAAAATTGGTCAAATTTTCTATAGGAAATTGAAATGTTGATTAGATTAAATCTACTCACTGAGTCACTGGAATTGGCAATAAATATAAAGGGATCGATTTTAACAATCTAAGCGCAAAGTCTAAAGCGCATTGTGCAAAGGCATTAAATGCATGTCTAAATCCACTTTTGCTATTTTAAGGACAGAAAAATATGCTCTGCGCCCAGCGCATGGTCTAACAGTGTTGTGCTTATTCTCTTAAAGAGTTATGAATGTGTTTTGAGCATAATGTGCATTAAGCCAATAAGAGTCTCATCTCCCATTCCCTCTTTCTCTTTACTTTACTCCATTGAAGACATCCATTAGCCTACATATTTAATTTAATTTGTTAAGCGCAAAGATTTGTTTCAAAACTATTTTTAAATTCAGTTCTAATTTCCAACAAACTTATAAATGAACAATAAAAATGAAGTGTGAGTTATATCCAAACATGTGTTCTTATTCTTATGCCTCAAATAGCTGAAAGGTAGACATATCTAAACTTGTTTTTATTAAAACAAATATAAATATGCATATAATAAATAATACTGCTAATAATAATAATAATATTATACATAAGAAAATTGTGGCGACATAGTGGCGCAGTGGGTAGTATGTTTGCCTCATAATTCAATTCAATTCACCTTTATTAATTTAGCGCTTTGACAATGTAGATTGAGTCAAAGCAGCTTCACATAAAAGATCATAGTAAATTGGTAGGTTGCCATTTCTGTGTGAAATTTGTATGTTGTCCCCGTGTTCGCATGAGTTTCCGCCATCCAAAGACTTGGTATGGGTGAATTGGTTATGCTAAAAAGGGTCCGTAGTGTATGTGTGAGATGTGATGGGTTGTAGCTGGAAGGGTGTCCTCTGCGTAAAACATATGCTGGATGAGTTGGCAGTTCAATCTGCTGTGGCGACACCAGATTAAAAAAGGGAC